GAAACATATGGTGTTTGATGGAAATTGTAAGTTGCCCTTTGGATGATCGCCAACACATATACTGAGTTTTAGTCAATTTGTTATTTTTTAGTGCAGAGTCCTAAAATATGAATAATAGGCAAGCTTCGGAATAGCAAGTCAGGAGCTGATGTGAAGCCAAGAAATGTAATTGCTGTGCAAGTGCAGATCAGAAGGCCAGTCTCTGAAAGCACGGCAGGTCTGGGCCTTTGGGCCTCCTCCAGGCCTGGGTCCCAGTGGACTAGTCGTACCCACAGAACACGTCTAACGAGATGGGTCTTGCCCATCAATAACTGTTTAAGTGAACAAATGGATGGGGAGACTTTGGTTCCACATCCAGCGCTTTTACTGCCTTACACTCTCCCTGGCTGCTTCTTTAAAAGAGAATGATAAAAAGTCTCTGTTATAAGTCTTGAGTAAAAAGGAAGTAAGTTTCCATAGGTAACTCTCTTTGAGAGTCCCAGAGGGAAGACGCACCTCCCTAATGTCAAGACCTTTACTACGCAGAGATGTTCTAGATTGGGTGTCCCTGACAAAGAATCAGACATTTCCACATTTGGGGCTCACTGACCTGGCAGACCTGTTCTAGTGACAGAGGGACAGGGAGGAAGGTCAGAGGGTTCTGGGCTGTGACCTGAAGAACCCGAGTCCCAGGCATCAGTGATTTCCAGCTGTGCTATCATGGTTAAGTTATTTAGCCTCGTTGTACAGAGAAACAGGGGAAATAAGGATAATTACCATATAAACTAGAGGTTCCCAAATTTTCCTGAACATTAAAATCACCTCAAGCTCTTAAAAATCCCAATGCCCAGGACATATTCTATATCAGTTATAGTGGAATATCTAGGGGTATAGCCAGGAATCATTTTTACAGTTGATCTTAGCCAAAAGGCAGAGAGGAGAGGGAAGGAATCATTTTTTTAAAAAAGATCCCCAAGTGATTCTACTATGTATCAAAATTTGGGAGCCACTGGTATAGACAGTGCATATTAAATGAGAACATCTATGTGCCTAGCATGTACCTGACTAATAGAAAGTGCACAGCAGACATAAAGTCCTTCCCATATCAATTGCTATAAAAATCTGATGGGTGGTACTCTAGGGTCTGGTTCTGTTCAGCTGTTGTCTTTTTAAAGATTTTATTCATTTATTTTTAGAGAGAAGGGAATGGAGGGAGAAAGAGAGGAAGAGAAACAGCAATGTTTGGTTGCCTCTCATGTGCCCCCTACTGGGGATTTGGCTTGCAACCCAGGCATGTGCCCTGACTGGGAATCAAACCTGTGACCCTTTGGTTTGCAGGCCCTTGCTCAATCCACAGAGCTACATCAGCTGGGACCAGCTGTTGTCTTATCAAATTGTCTCACCAAGATAAGAAAAAAACCTCTAGAAGCTAATTTGATCCAACTTTATGATAATATATTTTAAAGAACATAATGTGATGACTTCAGAGCAAGACCATATGATAAAACATAAAACCATATGTGTGTATTAAAATAATCAGATTGTCTTCTGATTGGCCTGGTCATTAAACCCAATCCTATCATTTCAGGAGGACATAAAGCTTCATTAGTATCAACACACTTGTGTTAAAATAAAAACCTGTACAAATCTATAGACAGAAAACAGGAACTTATGGTTGTGCCCTAAATTCATTCACATTATAAATACATTTTTTTCTTTTTACTGAACTCTCTGAGGCTGATGCTTTCCATGTGGAAATAACAGTTTTTCCCTCCCAAATGTGCTTATTCATCTTTTTTAGACACATAATGAAAAAAGTATTTAATGAATATTTGTTGAATGCTTTTATCCAAAGTTGTAAGATATCTACCCTCCAACTACCATGACTTCAGCAAGACCCCCCCCCCTTCTGTTGCTACCCGAGGGGACCATTCGATTTTACCGAGAGTGTGGGAATCCTGCTGTTTTCAGAGACTGAAATAAAACTATTTCAGTCTGGAATAACTCATCAGTTGGATGAGTTATTTCTCATCCAACCTGACAAGGTTCCTTGGTTAATTTAAATATTAAGTCGGTGTTTATTCCAATATGTGGAGTTTACAAAGAACATTGAGCACTGTTACTTAAAGGACAAGGCTTTTAACTGTGAATTCTCTGGAGTAAAACACCAAGAACCTCCTTGTAAATTACTCACCCTCATTAGATTTCAGGATTTTCTTTCCTACAAGAAAATCAACAACAAAATTTACCGATACATTCTGTGAGAACTATTTCCTTTGAGAACTTTGGGTAGCAGCGTCTGTTTGATTAGCTGAATTCGCCATGAATGTGGAAATGATGACATCAAAACAGCCCGTGTAACAAGCTCCTTAAAGACCTCGTAGATTAGAGATGACTATAGATTTTCCCCAGCACGGATCAAAGGGACTGAATCGAACGTTTTAGCTTAATGATCCAACCCCTGTCACACCCACAGGGACTCGAATTCCGATTTTATAAGCAGGTGTGCACATGCACTCAGATGCGCACGGAAAGCTGCCAGAGAGGGTGGAAAAGATCAGCCACCTAACTGACGAGAATAGGTTTGATCTTTTTGATTACTTGGCTGTGGCGATGTATATTCCTGGCGGGCTCTTACCATTTCTCACAAATTTCTGAATATTAGACGTGAGTTTTCATTTTCTCACTACGACTCTTCAGAGACATCCCAGCCACCTTCCAGGGGCGAAGAGAAACTGGAACAGGCCGCAAGCTGCCGGGGCCCTGTCCAGGGTCCTGACGCTGCCCGAGGGCTCCAAGCCGGTGGGCCCCTGAATGCCCTTTCGCCCACTTCACAAGGAAGGAAACAAAGACCTCCAAGCTCAAGGCCTCAGAGCAGCCTCCTAACTCTAGTCAATAGCTGGAAGGGGAAACAACAAAACAAAGGAACCACTAATCCGTCCTCCCAGTCCTACTTCAGGCAGCCAGAGTCACCGTTTCTACTCTGATCCTGCTTTTCTCAAATAAAAGCATGCCAGCAAAAGTATAATTCAGATAGAAAATCCCAACGCGCATTTTGTTTGGATAGGTTAGTTTGGGGTGTACTTTGAGGGGATGGCAATTTTGTCTTATCACTGGGATAACACTAAGGCATTGTTGGGGACCAAGACAGATCCAGTAAGTATTCTTGTCTCCCTCCTCCACGGACTCTTCCTATCAAAATAGTTATCGTTTTGAAATTCCTGGGACAATTCTGCAGAAAGTTGAAAACCACAGAGGCTTGCGGGGGGGGGGGGGGGGGGGGGGGGCAGGCCCGCAGGCCGGCAGGGGGCGCGCGCACAGCTATCGCAGCACAGAAGCGCTCACAGGGAGAGGGTGAGCCCAAATGCGGGGCAGGAGTCTGGCTCCCCACCGAGCGCTAACAGCTCGAAGCTTGAAGATAAGAAAGCGTGCCTTGGGCTTTTAGTCACTCTGCTGCTACAACACTTCTTGCTATTGAACGGCGCAGTGCATCCCAGTTGTCAGTTGCAAAACAGCAAGGGCAGGGCTGGGTCTCCAGTGACCACAGGCAGCCCTGGGCCAGGACGGTCTCCTTCCGGGCACTTCCAAGGGGCTTGGGTCTGCCGGCAGGACAGCCTGTGGCCCTTTGCAGAGGCCAGTGCGTAAAGATCTCCAGCAGCTGTCCTCCTCCATATGCTTACACCAGAGTCGCCACACAATAGCCAACAAGCCTCCTCAAGCCCCAGATGTGGGTCTTCTCCACCCTGGTCTAACCACGTGCACACATCCTCCTACCCCCAACGCACTCCTTTCTCTCCTGACGAGGGTTTATGCTCCCTAGTGGGGATGGCAAGAGGAAACTTCTGTGTCATAACCTTGATGAGTCAGACATGGACCGTAAGAAAGTCTTATGCAGAACCTTCTGATTAATTTTCCCCAGAAGTGAGGCCTTTTGGTTTCCTGCTGAGCTGGTGTGTGTGGGGTCCCCAGCCAACTCCCGAGGTATATGGCCACCATTTGGCCTGGGTGTGTGTGTGAGGAGAATCTGGGAGCCTTAGGTCTTTGCCCGACAACTGGCCTGTTCCTCAAGCACGCTAGAAAGAGGCCATCCCAGGCCTTTGGAGGAAGCCCTCCTTACCGGATTGGAGACCTGAGCAGTTGGCCGCGCCCTGCCTGCCCTTTGTTTGAGCAACCGGCTGGGAGCAGCTGCACTGCGAGAGACCTGCCTGGTGCCTTCTCCTCCTCTCTAGGGCCCAGGCACTTTTCCAGTTCTCATGTCCCACACACCTAGTCCTGGCTTTTCTCCCAGCCCAGCACAGGAGTCTTCGAGGATTAGAGAAGTGGGGTTCCCAGGGCCAGCACTGCACTCCTGCTCGGCTCCCGTGGCCCCAAAAAGCAAGGAGACAGTTGGAATGTCGCTGGCTGGGATAAATATTAACAAAAAGCAAATGAACTTGCGAGGGGGCCTGTTATCAATCAACCCAGCCACAAGGCCACTTAGGGCAAACACAGTCCAGGTTGGCCGGGGTGAGACTTTCTCATGGTCACCTCCTGGCCTGATATTCCCCCCACTCCCACCCCCACCTTTCTAAAAGTTGTTCTGGAGCAAATCCTGGTCAGAAAAACAGCGCGGTCTGGGTACAGGAGATCTGGTTGGCTCCTTGGCACCCCTTTGAAAGTTTCCTTGCCTCCAGGTATCAGAGTCCCAGTGGCCCAGCATGCAACCCTACCTGAACCCAGGGCTCTTGGGCCTCATCTCCTCCTAGGTCCCTGTTGCTTGGTGCTTCTCCAGCTGGTGGGTGAGGGTTGCAGCCTCTTCCTAAGCTGGCAGCTCCCCTAGCGTGTTGGACATCTTCTGGAATCTTTAATTGGAAACTAATCTCCTCGAGTCTTAATAGGCGCCCGTGACAGAGAGGGGGGCACCCACCCACCCTCATAGCCCAGCCCACCCATGCCACCTGGGACGAGATGGGGCAGCACCAAGTATTGCACTCAGGGAACAGATTGATTTTTAAAGGTAGCTAATTTAGTGAGAATTTCCTCCCATCTCCTGTCTTCCACCAGCGGAGGTAATTTCGTAAGAAGGCGCCTCCCCAAACCTGCTGCCACACGTGGAGGGCTTGACTCTCCACAGCAAAGCTGCGAGAAACCAGAGGTACAGGAAGGAGCATAAAGAAGCCACTCTCCCGCCACCGATGGGACTGACCATGGTGGACCCGGACTGGCATGGGGTAGGCACTAGGTTGACAGGTTGTGACTGCAACACCAAGCAGAGCTGTAAGGAGCCTCTCGGTGCATGGGAGGTGGCGGTCAGCGGGGAGGAGGTGGTGTTTCACAGCTGCAGCCAACGTGCCCTGCAATCTGTTTTACGTCTCCAGAAAAGCCCAGTAGAGATCATTGAGAGGGTTCAGGAAATGGCTTCGTTCTTACTTATTTTTCTAAATGACAATGTTAACAGAATGGGTCGTTGTTCTTCGGTGGCTTAAAATAGGTCCTGGCTTTTGCAGCTAAATGGTATTGCTCCCGGTTTGCTCGGCCAGTGCCCACATTCCAGCCCTCGCCACCCCTTTGATTAACCTAAAGAAAGGAAAATGAAAGGGGTGACGCTCCATCCGGGTTTTGGCATTCGGAGTCCGTTTGGGATTAGGGGCCGAACATGTGTCCCACAAGAGTCTCTGACTTCCCCCACCTCTGGAAAAGGCCACAGGCCTTGGGCCGTGATGACACACACGGGCTGCTGGGTACCAGGCAGGTGCCCATTCACAGCCTCCTGGGCCCCGCTCTGTCTCTTTTGTGCGGGAGGCAGTACTCGGGCTCCCGCTCAGCAGCACTGCTGCACCCACGCGTGGGGGTCAGAGGGCTCTCCCACATGGCAGGGCTCTAGGCTGGGTTTCCAGGGCCCGGGGTAGTCTCTGAACAGAACCTGTCAGTCTGTTTGTCCAGTGGAGGGGGGTGGGGGAGGAGGTAGTGAGGGAGGACGAGTCACTTCAGTCAGGAGCAAGCGCCTTCAAGGGGGGCAGGTGGGGAACGGGCTTCCCTGGGGGCACCCCTCCATTTCCACTACACACCCCTCTCCAATCCCCGCGGGCCTGTGCAGGCGCTGCCCTCGTCAAAGGTCCTGAGGCCGGGCTCCAGTCTGGTGTAGGAGTGTGAAACGGCACTGCTCGCCTTGGGCACCGGCAGAAACGGAGCAGTCAGGGAGAGGAGTGGCCGTTTCTCCCACCCCGAAGGAGTTTCGGCTGCCCTCAGGTCTCGGTCGGCCGGGCCCGCGGGGGAGGGAGGGCTGCGACCCAGCGACAAGGCTAGAGAGTGGAATCTCGGAAGCCCCGAGGACACCAGGTCAACCCTCTCCCTTCCGGTGCCCCTGCCCCCGGCTTCCCTGTGTGGGGCAAATGAGCGCGGCGCTGGGGCCAGGAGGCCCCGGGCGCCCAGACCCGAAGACAGGGTTGGGTCGCGCCCGCTCGAGTCGCAGGCTCGGGGCGCGCAGCACCTGCCTCCCTCCAGCTTCCCATTGGCCCGCACCGGGTGGGGGAGGGGGCTCCGGCCTCCGGCTTTGATTTTAGTCTGTGAAACTGCTCAGAGCCCCCGGCTCTGAGAGGATTGACTGTCTCTGGTTCTCCAGGGACGAATTAATGGAGAACGATCAGTTAATTAACAAACCCGCATACCGGCTTTTACCTTTCTCTTCGCCAGGACTCAGGCTGGGGCGCGGGGCTGAGGGGGTAGGGGGAGGGAATGGACCCCGGAGTCAATCGGCTCAGCCCCAGTCTCATCAAAACCGAGTCCGCCCTCCGCTACCCCTGGCTCTGTCCCCTCTCGTGGCTTCTGAGAGGAGGTCACGGAATCTAAACGGAATCCATCTGTGCCATTCAGGCTGGGCTCAGCTGTTCGTTCCCTCGGCTATTCGGCGGCCGGAGCCTCGTGCGCACCTCGGCCTAGAGAGGCGGGGGAGCTAGGCGCTGTTTCCGTGCAGCGCCGCCTAGACCTTCCTGCTAAACTTCGAAACTCCTGGGCTTCGGGGTTTCGGTCCCGGGAGACCTCTGCTCGAACTCTTGGGGGCTATTTCCACGCTCCCACTCTCCACGCATTGGAATTCAAATGAAAAAAAAAACATGCAAAGAAATAAAATGAAAATGTGAAGTCCTAAGCGAGTGGGCAGCGAAGACTATCCCTGCGCTGGAAGTTCCCCTGTGGTTCCGTCGCCCTCACTCGGACCTCCGCACGGTCTGTCTCCCTCTCCTTTCCGCAGCCGGCTGCGAGCGCAGAGTGTGTGCTGACCCTCGCACGGACACACGCCCACACGCACACAGCTCCTAGGCTTCCGAAGCTTTTGCGTGAACTCTGACTGCACTCCCCATCCCCGTCCCACCCCGAGCCGACAGTTAGGCGGGAGGGGGTCACCACAGCGAATTGTGCCCGACACTGGCAGGCAGCTCCAGCCTAGCCCCGGGCATATGCCAGGCGCGTAGTTTCACGGACGCTTTGCCTCCCTCTCCCCAAACCTGAGTGCCCAACCGAGAAGCGACGCACGGACGGTGTCTGGCCAGGTGCGGGGTCTTTTCTCCGCCTCCGGCAGTGCGAGCTTCCTGCGCTGTCTTCCAGAATGTGTGCGCCCGGGCGGTCGCAGAGACCGCACCACTCAGCTCCGGGAGCTTTGCGCAGACCGACACACTAAGTCCTGGAGGAGGCTGTCTGCTGCCTGGAGCCGCGTGCTGGCTATTCCATGCACAAGGACCCCCTTTCAGGAAAAGAAGGACGGGGTGAAGCGGTTCCAGCCCTCTCTCCTTTCCTCTCTTTTTCGGTCCCTAGTCTTTCCCATTCATTCGCGCCCAACTCCTCGAACCGCTCACCTGCTAAGCGGAGCGCAGACATGCGCTGGAATTCCGGCTCCTGCAGCCACTTCCACATTCTCCGGAAGGTCTCCCGGCCGGACTTGAGTTTGCTCCAAGGTTTGGGGTTGCGCAGCAGGTCCGAGAGGGTCCCTTGGGAGCGGCAGAGCACCCTCTGCGCGAAGATGGCCTGTGGGATGCTGTAGCGCTTGAGCTCGGTGGTGATACGCTGCGCCACCTCTTTGGTATTGATCTCTTCCATCTGCCCTGAATTACTTCCATTGCTGACCTGCGTACCCGTCACGGAAGGGTTGGGCTCCCGGGCCGTGCCCAGGAGCTGCCCGTGGCTCTGGGCGTTCAGGTGGGCGTGGGGGTGGTGCGGAGGAAGGCCGTTGATGGGTACCATGCCGGCCGAGGTGGGCGTGAGGTGCTGCTCCCCGTGACGGCCGAGCATGGCCGGGTGGTGGGCTTCAAAGCCGTTGGGGGTGAGCATCTTGTCAGTGGGCATGGCTGCACCCGGGTGAGCATAGTGGGGGAGCCCTTGCTGAGAGTTGTGGATACCGCCCAGACCGGAACCGGAGAGGGGCGAGAGGCTCTGGCCCATGCCAGCCACGTCCTTGTGGTACGGGGTATAGAGGTTATTCATGGAGGCCAGCCCGCGCTCGTCCCGCATGAGCGTGAAGCTACCGCTCACATTGCCCGCCAGGCGCTGGTGGTGGTGCGGGTGGTGGTGGTGATGGTGGTGGTGGTGATGGTGGGGGAACTTGTCCGACACGGTGGAGATGGGCGGCAGCGGCTGCAGGGGGGTTAAAGTGGTGTAGGTCGTGGGCATGCTCATACCTGGGGGAGTCTCGCAGGCCATGGTCATCGTAGGGTGCAGGGGGCCGGCTAGGCTGTGTTCGGGGGCCCGGTGGTGGTGGTGGTAATCGCCGCTGCCGCCGCCGCCGTCCAGCAGCGACGCCATGCCCATGGAGCGCGGGTGCGCGGGGGGCAGGTGGCTGCCGCGGTGCGCCACGGAGCTTCGCGCGTGGGGGCTGCTGCCCAGCAGGTCGGCAGGAGCGGGCACCGGCTCATGGCTCACCCCGTGCAGCTCGCCGATCGCCTCCATAGTCAGCTGTGCATTCATCGTGATCCGTGCGAGCGGGCGGCGGACACAACATCGATGAGGCCGGACAGAGGCGGCAAAGGGCGCGCGGAGTCCGGTCTTTACATCGGCTGCCGGCGACTGTTGCCTTCTTTCCTTCCGCTCACTGTGGGGCTCTGTCTCCCTCTCTGAGTGTCTCGCCTTCCCTCTTGCCCCCACCTTCCCCTCTGCGTCCTCGGCTCCTTTTTTTTTTTTTTTTAATATTAATTTCCAAAAAGGATCAGCGCAGTTAGGTGAGCGCCGTGTCCCCAGCCCCCTGGCCCCCAGCCCCCTCTCGCCCCTCTCCTCCTTAGAATCGTGAGGTCCCCGGCGCCCCTGACGCAGCCGGCGCGCCTGCCGCGGCTGCTGCCTGCCCGCGCCGCTGGCCAGCTCGAGCCATGGCCCGGTTAGTGTTGCAGACTCCGCGGCCGCGGTGCCGCTGCCGCCGCCGCCGCCGCCGCCGCCGCCGCGGCCCGCCCTCCCGCCCGCTGGGCGCTGCGCGCAGGCGCGGGCTCGGCCCCGCCCCCCGGCCCCCGCGCGCGGCCCGGGGCGTCCGCGTACAAACGCGGGAGGGGGGCCCGCGCCTCACCAGCAGCGGGGGCGGCGGGGTTGGCGGCGCGCACGTGGGAAGGCCCAGCCTGCCGGGCGACCTGGGGCCGCCGCCGCAGCCCCGGGAGACCGGGGCCTGTCTCCGCTCGGGTCCGGACGGGCTCTGCTCCCAGGCCTGGCTGCGCCTGCCGGGCTTTCCGGCCGGGCGGTGCGCGGAGCCCGCGGAGCCCTCGGCCCTCCCTCCAGCTGCCGCCCCTCGGCGCAGGTTGCCCGGGAGGCTGATCCGGAGTCACGGCTCCTTCCACCCCAGCCTACCAAGCTTCATTTCCCGGAGGGCTTCTAGGAGTCCGCATTCTCCCCATCCTCACGGAACAAATATCTTAAAGGCCTCGGTCAGTTTGGTGGCTCTTGACCCAGAAATCTCTGACCTCCCTGATAATCCTCTGCCCACCTCTCGCTCCCCTTCCTTGGTCTGGGGACAGGAGCAATCGGTGCCAAGAGTCGGGGCCGTACCTCGCCGTCTCCTGCTGCCTGGGTCCTTCTCTGGCTCAGGTGACAATTAAGGCGGCGCTCTGCTTTGCTAATGACTGTGTGTGTGTGTGTGTGTGTGTGTGTGTGTGTGTGTGTGTGTGTGTGTTGCTCTGGTGGGCTCCCATGCTAACTTCTGGGTGCTACTGGGGCCACCGAGTCTCCGGCCGTTCCCGCAGTTTCTCCATGGCCCCCCTGGCCAAGCACCCAGAAGCCACTGCTGGCGGGAAGGACTGCCACCGGCATGGTGGACCAGGCGCGCCTGTCTCCGTTTGGCCCGTAGGGACGCCCTCTTCCCGGCGTCCCCGCGAGAAGCCTCCAGATTTGAAAATCAATTCAGCTTCTGGCGTAATTGTCCGCTTCTCACAATCACGCTTCAGTCCGGAATCGAACCTGGTCCTTGGGCCTGGTGGGGACGCGTAGGGAGGCCCCCAGTGTGGGACGTACTCCGGCCGCCACATGCCACGACTTTTATTTCATTTACAAAAGAAAGAAAAAAAAATCTGTAACAAAAGGCAGACCCGTGTCCGCTTAGGTGCTTTCATCCCTCAGAGAAAGGACAGATGTGTCTATTGTCAGGCCCTTGGCAGTTACGACCGGGTCAGCGCCAAGCCTCGGCCTCAGGCGAACGGTGCTCACAATGGGGCGTCTCTGAGCCTGGGTATCGGGGACCGGATATGGAACAAAGTGTTTGTGGCCTGTACTGCTCCAAACCCAAACTGAACGTTCCGTTGCTGGGACACCCGGTCCGAGCCCACCAGTGGTGTCTCTGCTGAAAATGCTCCCAGACCCGAGGAGAGACCAGTAGTAGTCGTGGTGGCTGAGTCACCTAGGCAAAAGCTTGGGCAGGCCCATTCTTGGGGGAAACTTCCCACCAGCTAAGGCATGAGCAGGCCCATCTCTTTGCCCAGGTTCCTGCCACCACCAGGGCAACACCGTGATCCAGGTGGGTACAGTCAACCTGACATCCTGGAAAGTGGTCCTGTCCCGGGAGTGGTTAATCTTGCTGGTTTTATCATCAGAGACATTCCTATCTTGTTCAAACAAAGCCTGGAAAGGCCCTGGAAATGGGAATCTATCGGAGGGGATTAGCATCTACTTGCACAGTGAACATTTAGGAATTTAAGGCCCCCAGAGAGGAAAGATCTTTGGGAAAAAAACACTGACATTAAAAAAAAAACAAAACCCTCAGGAAACAAAATTATTTAACTCGTTAGAAAAATAACATGTATTTTCTACCTAGTAGATTATAGTGTGTTGCTGGGAAGTTGAATTCTTATTTCCTTATTGCTTCTGTTTTGTTTTCTTTTGTTGTTGCTGTTGCCACACACTGAGTGTGTGGCTCTCATATGAGACCCACAATGGGTTAAAGTAGTGGACAGCCTTTAAGCTAAACTGTTGTCTCTCCACACACCCATATTTTAATCCCTCGGAAATGATTGATTTGCCCTTACGACAACTCTCTTCCCAAAAGGCAGTTTGTTAAAAGAAAAAAGTAAATACCACCAAGTGCACAAATTGTTCATGGTTTTCTCTTTGTGTAGCTAATTAGGGACTTGATCCTGGTAACCCTCCTTCATGTGAGGCTTCTGGCTGAGCCCCTGGAGGGGGCTGGAATCAGGTGAGCTCAAGTCCCCTACTCCCCTCATTAAAAGGTGTCAGTGTTGGTCCCAAAAGGAGAAGTCAAAGAAAAGATCTGCGTGGACATTATATATGTTGTACTCATACATGTGTAGCACTTGCTTTGGTTTGCAAATCTCCCTAATCTTTCTTGTCTATTCATGCTGTTACAATTAACCATTATTTTTCTGTAGTTGACTGAATAGCAGAGATTTCTCAGAAACATTTTATCCTGACTGGACTTCTTGGAAAATTTTACTATAGTAAAAAAAGGGAAGAATTATTTTAGGCTTAGTTAAAGTGAATGCGTGTGTGTGTGTGTGTGTGTGTGTGTGTGTGAATAGACAGATTGCCAACTGCTATCTGGGTTGAAGTGGCTTTTTGTCATGTTGTCCTTCTCCTCCTTTCACCCTCCCCCCCCATCCAGTGCCCAGCACAATGTCTGGCACCCATCAGGTGCACTGTGGGGGAATTAAACAATGAAAGCCCAAGGAGGAGTTCCTTGAAACTACTTGTTTGATCAAGTGTATGACAGGATGCTGCACAATTCTTTATAACAGCCAAGAAGTTTAAGAGGGGTGCTTAATAACAGCTAGTTAGATTTTGAGTAGCTACAGGGAACTTAAAAAATAGTATCAATCATCACCATAAAATCACATACATGTATATATATTTAAGAAAAAGGGAAATAAGACTATTGACTGGATGCTGTTCCTGGTCATATTCTTCGTGTGGAATCAAGGATTTCAGACTGCTTATTTTGTAAGTATTGGGGTGGCAGTCATGCAGGTACAATCTTTCCTGTGCTGAGTGGGCTAGAGCTTTCCAGGTGACCCCACTAAGCTTAGAAAGGAGAACAAGTCCATCCCTCCAAACGCTGGACACACAAGCTTTTCTGAGACTCTTCGTGGGGTTTCAGAGTTATTGCTTTAGTTTTCTTTGTGATAATAGAGAAGTAACATAGAGCCTAGCCCCAGTTTTCAGGGCTATTCCAGAGGAATATTTCTGGCCCCTTTGAGACATGAAATATTTACTTCACATTTGTTGACCACACAAACAGCAAGCCTGGGTATCAGGGCAGATTCCCTCAGCCAGGGTCCAGTGGGAGGCTGACTCCTTTGCCGCAGCCTCGGAAGGTAGCTCACCAATGTTTCTGATGCTTACAGCAATTCTAGAATTAAACTCCTGGTGAGGAACCGTTTCTTTGGCATCTGGAAACAGTGTACTGGTCACAACTTGATAAACTGTGGGGTGATGGATTCGGTGGTGTTTCCTGCCAGCCTCTCCTGTCTTCCTTCCACCTCTGGAGACATTTAATTCAGAAAATTGCTGTTGGCTTGCAATGGAACACCAAGAAATTCAGAAAGGGGTGGTCTGACAACTCACTATTGAAGCCATTTAAAAAATTTAATCAATGACTTTCTCCACATGCCTCAAGGAAAGGATAACCAATTATTTTAGCCCGCTTTGTCAATCTTTGATCTTCTAGTTAGCATATAATTTTTAATCCACCTGTTCAATCGTTTTTTCTTTTTTAACCTAAATTATGGTTCTTGCCCATGACAGTGTGTATGTACTTTTTACTTTTTAAAGAAGATTTTATTATTTTAGAGAGAGGGAAGGAAGGGAGAAAGAGAGGAAGGAAAACATCACCACACGAGAGGAACATTCATCAGCCGGCCCCCCTTTGTGTGTTGACCAGGGACAGAACTGCAACCCAGGGGTGTGTCCCAACCAGGAATCCTTCACTTCCCCAAAAGACACCCCCCCCCAATCAACTGAGCCACACCAGTTAGGGCTGCTTAATTACTTTTCAATAAGTTTAAGTCCTTGAGGGGTACAGCATTACACAGATTTTGTGTCCAGTGGCCTTAGCAGGAAGGTTGCTTTGGAGTTTAGCATGGACCCTGCCACTGTTCCCACTACCATGAGTGACCTTCCCCCAGGTGACTCTGGTTTTGTTCAGTTTGCCACCAGGAGTCACTGTGTTGATCTTTGCTTTGTACACAGAGCACGTCTCTTGCCTAAACAGAAGTCAGTTTCATCCCCAACATAAAAACCTTCAATTTTAAGAGGAACTCCATCTGGTTCTGGAGACCCTGCTTATACCCTGCAAAGATGGCTGGGGACCACAGCCTTCCAGACGTATTTGTCCGTATTTGTCCTTACAGAAGTCCTGTTCCAGGCAGGCCTGCACAGGCTCCAAGGTTGGGGGGGGGCGGGGGGCGGGGAAGGCCCGTGGCAACACGTATATTTTTTTACTCTGTAGTTTTGCACTCTCCTTTGTCCAGTCGCCTACCCACTTCCTCCAAACGCACAGAGAAGATGCTCTGGTGAAGGGCTCTGCACAGCTAATGCCAACTCCAGCAGACTCCAGATTCAAGGAGAGGCGGAGAGTGGCCAGGACTGAGGTGCCTGGACGTCGGACACCCCTCCGTGAGCACCTCCGGCCACCTCCTCTTCTGGGCCATCCGATAAACTAGAAGTGGCTCTCTTGGGTTTAAGTCTGTTTCTGCGGCCCCCAGTTTTCAACGAGCACTTTTCAAGGCCTCAGGCCCAGCGCGCCAAAGGG